GACAGAGTAGGGCTAGGTAGAAGTAGATATTCATAGATGTGTACATGTTGTCAGAATCCCAACCACTAGACCATTGGGATAAAAGGGCTTTTTAAGTAGCGGGTCAGTGCGCCCATAACCCCCCAGGACAACGAGCCTGTAACCCTTCCCTAGAATCAACCGGGGATCACCAGTGGACCTCTGACACCCCCCCGCACTGGGATGCCCGAAGTGCACACACCGGGATTCGAACCCGAGGCCTTCGCTCTGCTACCATGTCAGAATCGCAACCACTAGACCATTGGGATAAAAGGGGCTTTTTAAGTAGCGGGTCAGTGCGCCCATAACCCCCCAGGACAACGAGCCTGTAACCCTTCCCTAGGATCAACCGGGGATCACCAGTGGACCTCTGACACATGTACCCCCCTTAAGTAACTAATCTTCGTTTAGAAGACACCCCCCTGTTTATAAGAAAACCCCTAACCTCTGCTCTGATTATACCGTGATCTCCCGCCTAGAAGACCCGGGGGACTTATCCTAAATGTGCTCGAACTGGGTTGTGGGGTCTTATGTAATGACATGAAGTGCATAAGACCCCTGGACATCTATTAATTACTGAAAAATGGATTTTGTAGTGCAGTGTTGAAGAAATTCGAAATTTCTGTACTGAATTTCGGATTCCTTCACAGCGCGGAAATTCATTCTCAGATTCTCGCACTCGAGTCTCCCAGATTCCTTTCCGCACGTTCAGAAATGCCTAATAATGACAGGCACGTCAGCATTTGTTGCCTGAAGGGCGGCAAAAACGCGTGATTGATGTAGCATCTTGACTCCCTTGACCACAAATTCGCCTGACAAAGTGAATTTGGTGGTTTTTTGTGTGACTCGCTAACCAGCTCATGAACTAACACCACTCATTATAGCCTAAGGGGGGGTCTTATAATGATTTGGGTCAAAAGACGGGTCCTCTCCAGGACTGACTTAATAAAAGACCCCTGGTCCGGATAGAAGACCCACGGGGCTTTTATGCGGGGGGGTCTTGTAACCGGGAGATCACGGTAAGACATATATGTTTTATCTCGTACACACAAATAGGTGTCTTATAATGAGGCTAGCCTGTTTATAAGAGACACCCGGATAATAGACAACCCCTGTCTACTATTCAACACTGTCTACTATCCGGGCGATGACGGTACTTAACAAGCCATTTTATCCCAATGGTCTAGTTGTTGGGATTCTGACATTTCGACGCTCCGATTACCTTGCAGCTACTCCGAAAGAATCCCCACACTTCCTTTAAATTGTAGAGGATGTCATTTTTTATTACGGCAGCATTCTCGATGCCTGATACGTTTCTAATGTAAGCGAAAATTGTCAGAATCCCAACCACTAGACCATTGGGATAAAATGGCTTGTTTCAGTAACGGGTCAGTGCGCCCAAAACCCCCCAGGCTAACAGACTTGTAACCCCCCAAGGATCAATTGGGGATCTCACAGTGCAAGTCTTCTGACACCCCCCCACACTGGGAGGTCCAGGACTCGACACAGCGGCAACGGCCTGCATGTGCATACACTGGGATTTGAGCCCGAGACCGCTCTGATACCATGTCAGAATCCCAACCACTAGACCATTGGGATAAAAGGGCTTGTTTCAGTAGCGAGTCAGTGCGCCCATAACCCCTCTGGCTAACAGGCCTGTAACCCCCCAATGATAAATCAGGGATCTCGCAGTGCAAGTCTTCTGACAAAATTAATGTTGTGATATGCGTCACGATAACAAGTATGGTGTTTTTGCCACACTCAAGTACACAAAGAGTAAAGAGACAATAATGTTTCTGATGTGCATCACAAACCTTAGGAACTCCATCATAAAGGTTGGTCTTTTTGCCACACTCAAGTACACCCGATTATGCTTACATTCCAGTGAGGGGTGCTTCGCGGGACATGTCCGCGGAATTTGATGGGTGAGTGAGACCCACATCACAAGCGGACGTTTTCAAACAACCCTTGCTCTGCTGCACTGCCTGGATGCGAACGCGGGAAAAGCGAATGGCATCATGCTTACTGGAGAAGCGGCGCGTGAACGCGGCTCGCAAAATCTTCCAATTCCGTGAAGCAGACAGCAGGCATGGCGCGCATGTCATCCCAGCTGAGAGTGGCTGGCGGAATCGACGTGACAGAATGCAAGCAAAAAACGGCCAAACGCAAAATCGACGGCACGCGATGAGAGCCGAGATTCAACTCGTGCAGTTGGTAGGGTCTTTTTGGGTCTTCGTGGCAGACTCGTTGTTCAGCTGAACATAACCCCATTCCCGCAACGGAACTGCCCCCATCACTACATCTCTTCTCCCCTCATTCATTCCCGAGCCACAAAACATTCCTCAGCACCATTCCTCAACAGCACAATTCATATTTTCCAATCAGGTCATACAACTTGCTCAAGTTCGAAGTAGCAAGACAACCAAAACCTTATACTCTATCCTTATCTTCTTGCTAGATTCTCCTTTCCAGTTTTAACATGACGGTAGTTAACAGAGTTGTGAAGCCCCCTGGTGGCGACTCCACCGCCGATGTGCTCAACTGGAGCGAGGGCGCTGACGCCGGCGTTCCCGATGTGCTTGGTAGCGGAAAGAAATGCATCAAGCGCCTTAGCCGGGTAGGTTTTCGTCGATTGGGTGGTCATGCTGCGCCGTCTGTCCAAGCCGGGTACCTTCCTTGTAGCTTGTTTCGTGAAGAGAGCACTGAGCGTCCGGACCGTGGTGATTGAAGCAGACGATAGCAGCTGAACCCTAAGACTCGACGTGCGTTTCCTGGCTGTGGGAAATCTCTCTCCCTCATTTGGCTTGTTTGCCGGTTTCCCTGAAATTCCTTGGTTTCCCTGAAATTCCTGCGTGCAGAAGAACTTCGAGAGCCAAGTGGTCCTCGCGCACGTGGAGGCTGACACTAAGCAGACAGGGTACGATACATTTCCTTTCGTCGTCTGTTCACCCGCGTAACCCCATATTTTCGGCTGCATTCCACCGGTACCCATTCTTGCGGTCCTCAAACGCCTTACTCCTGTGTTCTCGTCCTCTCTTTGTCTCGCAGGACTCCCGAAGTTGCACCCGCCTCAGACAACATCTTCACGCCGTCCGATCAGACCGACCGCCCCAGCGTGCGCCTCCACCAGGTCCGCACTCGGCATACCGTGTTTTACATTTATTGCAATCCGGAAATCTGTCATGAAGAATATTATGCCAACTGTGCAACAAAGAGATCCCCTTCATGCCCGCTTTACGTGCAAGTTGTGTTCTCCGGTTGAATACAGCTTCTTTTATTTCCACTTTTTGGAAACTTCTCTTTCCCATATCGCATGTTTTCACGATATTTCCCCTTGATTCCTCCCACGCGTCACCCTCAACGCCTCCTGTACCGTGCAGCCTGCAGGCGGCAAGAGCCAGATTCTGTTCGGCGACGAGGATTACCTGCCGACCAAAGCGCTGTGCCCGCAGAAGCTGACGGACCTCATGGGCACGCTCAGCTGCGAGCTCGACAGCGAGGAGAAGCGCCGGCCGCTGTGCCAGGCGAAGCTCAAGGATCTGTACGGCTCGCTGTCGCTGTACGGGGAGGAAGTTGTGGAGGAGGTTCGCCCGTCCATCACCGTGCATCAGGTGAGCTTCGATTCCGTGCTTGAAGACTCAACTCCGAGCTTCTAAACTTATGCTTTTAGCTGCTTCAAACATGAATGATGTCCAACATCTTGTCCAGTGTTGTACGTTCGCCATGCGCAGCGCATTAACATTCTTTTTTATTTTGTGTCCGCAGCTTCCCGGTGGTGCGAGCTCGATTATCTTCGGCGGAGACACCCCTCCCAGCCCGCCGAAACGTCGGCCGTCCGATCGCAAGATCATCGATCTGATGGGCCGCGGGACGATGGAGCCGACGGACGCCGGGAAACAGCAGCTTAGCGCGGCAAAGCGTCGCGAGCTGCAGGGAGAGGATATTTTCGCGGACGGAAAGCTTAACATCCGCAGCTGCATCGGCATCCACCAACCGCCTGGTGGTGGCAGCTCGTTGTCACTCGTTTGAGGGTGGCTGGAAACAACCGAGTTCTCAATCAGGGTTTCACTGTTACGACCGCTATACATAGTTCGTTGGGTTCTGTGAACTTTGCTGGCGCTAAGCTTTAGCTATTTGTTTTATTTAAGATACCATCTTTAGTATCTTTGGTTCTTCGTTATGTGTGTTGTATGTTTGGCACCATAAACACCTCTATTCATAGCGTTGCTTTTTCCTGCTACGAACAATTTTCGGTACGCGTATACTACGCTATGCTTACGGAGGCGCTTCGAGTGCTAGCACAGCTTGTCGCTGAAAACAACGACCGTGAGTTCATGACCACGGACGTACCCAGCAAGACGGAATGCTCTAGTAGGCAACCTTATTCCACAGCGGTTTTATGAGTCGCTGTGCATGGACTGAGCCGTGTTCGATTACCTAGTCGAAGCTACTAACGCCATCATGGTCGCGACAGGCGAGACGTATACATAGAAACGTGTATCGCCCTGTGATTTGTGCAGGCGCCATGACGCGAAGTCGTGTTCAGAAATCCACGCTAGATGCTTAGTAGTTCGCCAGTTCGTCGCAGGGGCCCTAACCGTGATATTGTAAGCGGCTTGACCTTCCGTCGACAGATAGGCCAAAATGCATGGGACTTGAGGGGGGATTCATAATATACGCGATGTCTGTACTCACATACAAAATAGATACGGAAGTCTGATATCTCAGATGAAATGAAAGTAGGGTTCAGCTTAACTAAATTCGTTCGTCCCAAACATGATTGGTGGCAGAACTCCAACCAGAAACTCCAAAACTTTGTGCTGAACCTCCACCATGCCAACTTTCACCAGAGGGGAAACAACGCTCACGTCATTCTTGACGCCATTAAGTAGCAAGCCATAACGCTTACCGTACCTATAGATTGTTCTGAAGGGTTACAATAATCTTAAATGACAACGTAACAAAACTTATATGATGGACATTTACAGCTTAGCAAGAAGGGCAGACACCTTGGACTTGGTGGCATCGAAGAACTTCTGAGCGGCCTCCTGGTCCTTCACGCGGGCAGCATAGTCCAACTGCAAGATAAAAGTGCAAAAAAACAGTTTCAGAAGTGGTACACAAACCGATTTCGGGATTTGTGTGGAAAAAAATAGCAAGCCAAGGAGAGAGTCGATGCGCCGTCGACTTACCGACTCCAGGGTGGTGATCAGCTCCTTGAGCTCGGCGTTAAGAGCCTTCTTCTCGGCCTTGGCCTTGGAGGCGATGACGGTGGCAAGATCGTATCTCAAGTAGCCGAGCTCGGAGCGCAGCTCGTTGCGGACATAGGGCCAGGCCTTCTTGGAGATGTAGCCCTGGACCTCGGGGAGGACGCCGACAACCTCCTTAGCGCGGGCGAGAGCCTCATCGGGGGTCTTGATCTGGATGAAGAACCGCTCGCTCAGGGGGGCCTCGAAGTCACGGGCCTGGTCGGAGTTCTCAGTGCCGGCTGCAGGTAAAACAAGGGAAGGTGTACACAGGACGACGTTCAGGCGAAGCAGTAGAAATTAACTGAAGAGCGGTACATCGGCGAGACCCGCATGCAATGAAGGTAATACACTAGTCGGACGAATACAGCTGAGCATCAAATAAACTTACGAAGGCCACCAGCCAGAGGAGGGGGGCCCTCGATCTTCACGCCAGTAACGGCCTGAGCGCTGCCGGAAAGGGAGATGGCAACGGTTGTGGCAATGAGGGCAAGAGCCGAGCGCCTGCTCTGCTTCTCCTCAGCCGAGGCACTGACGGCGAGCGAAGCCTTCTCAGCGCGGGCGAAGGACACGGTGTTGTTGAACACGCGGGAAGCCTTCTGGGCCGGGTTGCCGAGCTCCACGGGAGCAGCCAAGTTCATGGCAGCGACGGAGGTGGTGGCAGCCATGGCGGATAGTTTGGTTGCTGGTGGAATTCGGCAAACAGGGAAGTGTGCCTGATGGTGTGGGAGCGTCGGCAAATTGGCTTACTCTTCGACATACCTTGGTAACGTAAATCCTTTGGATGACAACCCACGCTGTCAGGCTGCCTCCGAGCAGGAGAAGGTGGGGAGAGCTGGGGAGGATTTCGCGCAGTCCACGTGGCACTTCGCTTATCCCCAAGAGATCGAGTGAGGTGTTATTGTCAAATCGCGACATCAGATTGGACGCATCACTCGCGAAAAGCACGAATTCTGGGCTTCCGATCGTTGCGTTGTCGAAAATCTAGAAGGTTGTTGGTAACAGTTTATTTGTTGTTACTTGGCATAAACGAAAAAAACTCAATGATAGTTGTAAACGGAATATTGAATTACAAGCATGAGGTCCGTATGTGCATGCTCAATTTGGAAATCAATGTCGGATCACGTTTTTGGAAATATTAGTAATTTTAGCTATGGTAACACTGCCATTCCATAGTTTTGATTTTGTGGACCATGGAACCTGATGCACCGTATCAGCCTTGAAATGTGTTTCACCCTGAAGCAGACTTTTCCTACTGTTTTCCCGTTATTGGCACTGTCCTCATAACCTGCAAGAATCAGAGTAGCGACGACCACCCCGGTTGTTTTAGCTGTGAATCAGGAATCGCTACCGCAGTCCAGCTCAGACTCAACTGATTCTTTACCTCACCTCACATGGGCAGGGTCATGTGGATGGCTTTGTGGACTGTGCGGTGCTGAGAGGTATATGCATCAGGGGGAGCTGCAGGGGAGAAAATCACTGCAGACAAGGGCACTGTTGCGGAAAAATCACTTGAAAACGGGATAGCTATTTCGGACAAACCATACGGTAACTGGTACTAACTGCATACCGGTACCGGTACTACAATCTCAAGAGCAACTACTGAAGCCTACTCCCTAACGCATCTTTCTGTTTCTCTTGGCTCCCAACAGCAAGCAGCATCCTGTTCTCAGGCGTCAAATCAACAGTAGTATACTCCACATACTCCACCCCCAGCCCCCTGCCTTGCAGCCACTCCAGCCGCCCTGCATCTATCAGCAACTTGCACGCCCTCCCCACCTGCACCTTCTGCTCCACTGATAGCTGGGCGAACCACGGGGTCGGCCTGCTTGCTGCCTCTGCTTCTGCCTCTGCTGCTGCTGCTGCTTCCTGTGGCTGATCTTCCTCCACACCTTCCTTCCCCACTACCGTTCCATTCCGCTTGGCTGCTGCTACTGCTGCTGCTGCTGAAGGGACAACTCCTGATGATGCTGCTGCTGTACCACCGACCTCCTCACCTGCAGCTTGGCCCTCCTCACCACGTCCCATGCTCTCCCCATCCCCGCCCTCACCAACCCCTCCTGCGCCCTTACCTTCCCCCAGCAGCGCCCAGCTGCTCATCCACGCCACTGCTGCAAAGTCCGGAGGGGAGAAGCCCAGTCGCGTGAAGAAGGCCGGGTCTGCCAAGGAGGGGACAGAAGGGGGAGAGGAGGGAAGGAGGGGACAGGGTAGGATAGAAGCAGCGCCCAGCTGCTCATCCACGCCACTGCTGCAAAGTCCGAGGGGGCGAAGCCCAGTCGGGTGAAGAAGGCCGGGTGTGGGGGGAGGGGAGAGGAGGGAAGGGGGGGAAGAGGGAACAAGGGGAGGAGAGTGCGAGAGGGGGAAGGAACAAGGGAAGGAGGGAAGGAGAGAAGCAGGAAGGAAATGACGACACACCTCCTGCTGCATGTCCGATAGTTCACGTACCATTCAAAAGGCCGCCAGGCACACATGTTGCCATGCACAAATGTTGCCATGCTTGTATGTTGCCATGCACAAATGCTGCCAAGCACACATGCTGCCATGCATGCATGGGCGAGTTATGACTTCATTCAGTCACCCTCAATACAGTCACTTACTGACGTAAGACTCCCAGTCGCACAGGTGATGACAGCACGTAGCAATGGCTAGCCCTGCCAGGCGCGCTCCCTGTTGCCTCTCTTCACTGGGTTGACCCTGTTGACCCTGTTGATTGGGTTCCTGTTGACCTTGATTGAGTTGACTCTCTTCACTGGGTTGACCCTGTTGAACCGGTTGACTGGGTTGGCTTGTTTGTGAGGCATTCAGGCAGCATCTCAGTGCCAAGTCTGCATGGCCACATGTGACAGAGCAGCGAGGGGAGGAGAGGGAGGAAGAAGCAGTTGAAATGCAACACTGGGGCATTCCTTTCCCTGGCCACACCCCTCCTCCAATCCACACACCCACGAAGATTCTCCTCCACACTCCACCTCACGTCCCACCTGTGGACCCCAAACGGTTGGTCCCATGGCACCCCATGCTGCACGCCACATGCCATCTCCGCACATGACACCACCCCACACAACACCACACCACCCACATGCCATGGAGAGCACCCACATGACCCCAGGAGCACCTCACATGCTGGGTGAAGCAGGGGTGTACCTGTGGCGGGGAGCAGCGCACATGCCCACCTGTGGCACCCACCTGTGTGCACCCACCTGTGTGCACCCACCCGTGGCACCCACCTGTGGCACCTATCTGTGGCACCCACCTGTGGCGGGGCCGCAGAGGTGCTTGCTGATGGCCACCAGGGGACGGCCCTTCACGCCCGGCAGCGCTGCCAGCTGCAGGTCCGCGACTGGGAGGGGGAGTGATGGATGGAAGAGGGGTGGAAGGAGGGGGATGGAGGGGGAGGGATGGACGGGAAGAGAGGGAGAGCGTTGAAGAGGTGCTTGCTGATGAGCGGCGTGCTACAGCGGTGATCGGGATGCTGCTGCTAGTGATGCTGCTGGTGCTGGTGCTGGTGATGCTGCTGGTGCTGGTGCTCATGCTCATGCTCATCCTGATGCCGAAGCCCATGCCCATGCCCATGCTCATGCCCATGCCCATGCCCATGCCCATGCCCATACCCATGCCCATGCCCATGCCCATGCCCATGCCCATGCCCATGCCCATGCCCATGCCCATGCCCCTGCCCCCTGCCCATGCCCATGCCCATGCCCATGCCCATGCCCATGCCCCTGCCCATGCCCATGCCCATGCCCCTGCCCATGCCCATGCCCATGCCCCTGCCCATGCCCATGCCCATGCCCATGCCCATGCCCATGCCCATGCCCATGCCCATACCCATGCCCATGCCCATGCCCATGCCCATGCCCATGCCCATGCCCCTGCCCCTGCCCCCTGCCCATGCCCATGCCCATGCCCATGCCCATGCCCATGCCCCTGCCCATGCCCATGCCCATGCCCCTGCCCATGCCCATGCCCCTGCCCATGCCCATGCCCATGCCCCTGCCCATGCCCATGCCCATGCCCATGCCCATGCCCATGCCCATGCCCCTGCCCATGCCCATGCCCATGCCCCTCCCCATGCCCACTCATGCCCATGCCCATGCTGCAAGGCACGATCGGTGTGTCTTACTGTCAACTCGGACGCGCATCAGGTTGACTCCAGAAAGTTTCCTCAAAGCACGATCGGCCTGCAATGGGAGAATGTGTTGGGGCCAACGAGATTTGATGGGGCGAGAGCAGGGGGGGGGGGGAGAGGAGGAGAGAGCAGGAATGAAGAAGTGGAGAGAGAGTTGACTGGGAGAGAGTGGGGGGGTGAGAGAGGGAATCAATAAGAGATGGGAATGTCAAAGAGAGAATAATAGTGAGAAAGCGGGAGGAGGGGAGATGAAAAAGGGGAGAGGGGAAGGTGCAGAGGAGCGCAGCGTGGGGGGTGCGGGGAGTGGGAGAAGAAGTGGGAGGTAAGGTGGGAATGGGAATGGAAGTGGGGAGTGAGCGAGAGATAGGGGAGGGTGGGGCAGAAACGAAGGACAGTGATCACGCGAAAAGGAGAGAAAGGAGAAGAGAGATAGGAAAGGAGAGAGGAGAATTGGAGGGGAAGGGGAAGGAAGAGGGTGAGGAGAAGATTAGTAATCAAAACGTGGGTTAGGGAGAGGGGGAACGAGGGGAGGAAAGGAGGAGTGAGAATGTCACATGCGTGCCAACTCCATTCGGCATGCCTGTTTCTAAGGAGAAGGAAAAGAGAACCTTTGAATTGCTCCTCCATTCGCTCTTTCCCCTGCACCAAGTGCTGACCATGGCAGCATGGCACATCTGCCCCTCCTTGCACTTAAGCATTTAACCAAACCGTACATGCACCCACTTACATCACCTACCAACCACATACAACCCTCCTTCTCCCACCTCTCTCCCACCTCCGTTTCCCCTTCTCACCGTCTGCCCTCCTTTCACCCATCCCTCTCCCCCACCCCTCTCCCCCATCCCTCTCCCGCATCCCTCTCCCCCACCCCTCTCCCCCATCCCTCTCCCCCACCCCTCTCCCCCACCCGTCTCCCCCATCCCTCTCCCCCAGCCCTCTCCCCCACCCATCTCCCCCATCCCTCCCCCCACCTTGAACTTGTATGCACGTCGCTCAACCATCACCACATGGCGGGCGTGGAAGCACGAGCACAGCATGTGCGTCAGGTACCCCCTGCCCGCGCCCAGCTCCACATACACCCTGCCCTCGCCCTCGCCCTCGCCCTCCTCATCCACTGCGCCATCGCCCCTGCTCTCGCCCTCCTCCACTGGGACCTCGAGACCCTTCTCCTCTCCCTGCCGCCCTGCCTCCTCCCCTCCGTGCCGCATGGCTGCAGCCCTGACAAGAGGGCGTGCCTCCTCGGCCTCCTCGCCCCCACGCTGCTGCCCTGCACGTCCCGCTCCTGCCTGCTCTGCCTCTTTCACGTGCCCTGCTGTGCTGCCTCCCTGCGCCCCTCCCTGCACCAGTGCACCCCCCTCTGCCTGCGCGCCTGTCTGTGATCCTGGCCGCTGCACCGTGCGCGGGTGCACCAGGGGGCGCAGAAGACCCACGCGGGCAAGGTTGGCGAGGATGGACGCCTGCTGCTTCACATGGCGCGGCTCGAATGGTACACTCCTGGTGCGGTGAGGGGAGGGGAGGTGAGGTCAGGGGAGGGGAGGGGGGGAGTGGGGAGATGAAATGACAAGACACGACACGCATGTGCACACAGCAGAGCGCCAGGCAGGGGGTGCAGCAGTCCCACTCGGGTGAGGATGGACGCATGCTGCCTCACATGTCGTGGCTCAAATGGCACACTCCTGGCGAGGTAGGGCGAGGTGAGGCGAGGTGGGGCGAGGTGGGGCGAGGTGGGGCGAGGTGGGGCAGAGGGGCACGGAGGCGAGCAGAGATGGGATAACCAGAGGACAGCAGGGGGGAAGGAGAAGTACATGACATGCTTCATCAGAGATGGGATAACCAGAGGGGAGATGTTTCAACCACCCATATCCCATCCGCCCATGCCTCACCCGCCCATGTCTCGAGCAGCCTGTTCCCATGCGTCACATGCAGGCGGCCACAGCATTGACTGCTGCAAAGTGAACAGTGGCGCTGCTCCTGCTGCTCCCGCTGGTGCTGCTGTTGCCCGCCCACCCAGAACCATGTCTGTAGGCTCATGTTCTCCCAGGTTGGTCAGGGGAGGGAGAAGCACACCGCTGTGGCCCCCAAAGGCCACTGCATGTGCCTCCCCCAGTAGGCGCAGCAGGCGCTGCCACTCGCCCTCCCCCAATGCCGCCACCATCTGCCTCCTCGCTGCTGCTGCTGAGGCCACTTGCGGCGCTGCAGAGGCGGATGCAGCTGTGCCCTGACCGCCAGGCCCAGGCGCCGCAGCAGCAGTAGTGGGAGCAGCAATATGGGCATGAGTGGCATTGGAGTCAGCAGCAGCATGACCCCCTGCCTGGGCCGTGGAGCTGCTGCTGCCACCTAGTGGCGGCCCTCTTGCATTGAGGCCGCCCTTGAAGTACGCTGCTCCTTCTGTCAACCCCCTCTGCACAGCTGCTGGACACTTGGCGACGTGCGATTGGACCTCCGATGCCAGTATGGTGCTGCCACGCAGCGTGCATTGGGGGGAGGGCAAGGGGATGGGAACGGGGATGGCAAAGCGGAGTGTGGAGGGAAGACGAGAGAGGATGAGAGAGGGGCGAGGGAGCAAGGATGCAGGGGGTGCATGAAGGGAGATGCAGGGGGGCGGCAGAGATTGTGAGGGGTCGGTGGGATTGTGAGGGGCAGGTGGGATGTGGCAGGTGGGATGTGGCAGGTGGGATGTGGCAGGTGGGATGTGGCAGGTGGGATGTGGCAGGGAATACGAGGCGGGAAGGGAACGGTAGATTGAGGGGAGAAGGAGAGTGAGGGTCAGGGGGAGAGTAAGGGGGGGAGGGGGTGGGGAGGAGAGTGAGGAGGAGAGTGAGGGGAGGAGGGGAATGAGGAGAGGAGACAAACGAGGGGCGCAGAATGGAGGGGGAGAGGAGAGGAGCGTACTGGGAGGGGTCGACCGGGCAGGGCACTCGTAGCGCTGCAGTCTCTGGGATGTGGTTACCACAGAACCTGTAACACCAGTGGGCGAAGGGGCAGGTGCACCGCACAGGGAGGGGAGACGGGGTGTGATGAAATGCGGGGGAAACAGGACGATGGGCGAGCGGGCATGGCCTAAAGGGGATGGGCGAGGGGGAATGACCTACGGGGGATGGTCGAGGGGGAACGGCTTAAAGGGGATGGCACCGGGAGGAAATGCAAAGCCAAACACCCTAGAAAGCGAAACCCTACGAAGCGAAAACCATAGAAAGCGGAACACTATAAAGCGAAGCTCTGGGAGGCGAAGCCCAAGAAAGCGGAACCCTAGACGAACGGGGTGCAGGGGGGCGGGGGAGTACATGTGGCCGGGCTTCCTGCGACTGGAGCACGCCCGCCCCTTCTTTGCCAACCAGAACCCGCAACTCTCCCCGCTCGCCCCCTTCCCTCCGCCCCTCCCGCTTGCACTCTCTCCCTTCCCCTCGCCCTCCCCGTTCATCCCGCTCTTCCCCTCAATTTCCCCTTTCCGCTTCTTCCGCGCACTGCTCCCCCGCGCGCCATCCTCTAAAACCCTGTCCCCTGCGGATTTGGGAAGCATCGGTCCGTTTGCAGCGACCACCTGATGTGAACTATCCGCAGGATTCGCTAAATTCGCATCCCCAGTGGATCCGACGGCAATGGCCGATTCGTGGTTGGTGGAGTCTGCCTTAGCGCCCTGATCCGCCAGACGTTCCTCGTCAGTTCTGACGTCCGTCAACTCTGTCCCGTCAACTACATCGGCCATTCCGTTTGTTGCGAGGCCTGCCAGAGAAACTGCTCGACGTGATCTTTCAGGCAGTCGCGAGCATAAATGAGGGTTTCTGAGGTAACTGGTTACCCGACTCGAGCGAGCTTCGCGTGGAAGGCGCACCAGTCTACCTGCTTGACGAGATCGAGGTGCAGGAGGCGTTACTGGTAACCCGACGGCTACCTTGTTTGCCAGGCGATGGAGCGAGAGAGCAGCTGCTCCCATCACTTGTCATGCCCACGAAGTATGGAGGGGGGGGTGCTGGAAATTGCTAATGATCAGGTCTTGTAGTTGCAGCACCTATCCAGTTTTTGTTTTTTACGTGACTGGTATTCCGCCGTTTCGTCTCCAAATTGAACATCGGCTCTGAAACGAGGATGTTTGGTCGCTAGTCAACCGTATATGGAAGCATGAAGACGAAACGACACAAAGCCGACAAGCAAGCAAAAACCAGATCTGTCTTCTCAAGCCTCCATCGCCAATGCCTTTGGGAGAAACTATCCTCGGTTGTTCCTTTTTCGTTGGATTGGACGGTTTACCGCATCGTGCATCGGTCTACGGAATCGCCAAAATCGTCGATACACCTGTTCATCCTCCATCGCATCTAGCCCGCGACGCAATTCGCGGTGATTCTCAGCAAGTCGTTCCATTCATCCCACCGCCAGATTTCGCGTTCCATTCCTTCCCTTGTCGCAAGCATGACAGCCACACAGCCAGGAAACGAATGTGTCGTTCCGTCTCCTAGTAATTCCCTTCCAACAACCACCTCGGCGAATTCACTCGCGACTCGAAATCGACAGTTGGATTGGACTCGACACCCACCAGCCTAGCAGGGAACAAGACAGCCCCCCTGGTTCCATCAAGGCGCACACGCGTCTATTTGACTTAGCCCGACCACGCACGGCAGGCAGCCTTGCAGCAGCCGCAGCAGCTGCATCACCTGTCGATGCCCGATGCTTCCTCCGCTCCGCACCGATAGTACGACTGCGTAGGTAGTTGAAGTAGTTGATGCTCCCACCCCGCCGTTGACTCTGCGACTAGCAGCATGCGGTGCGCGTCGACGCCGCGCACGATGACGGCTCTTTGCCTACCCGTTAGCACGACGACTCGTGTCATCCGCTTGACGCAGCGGGACATAGGGCGGGGCGGGCAAGAGGAGACGGGCAGGCTAAGGCAGAGCAGGGCCGGAGAAGGGAGGGAAGGGCAGGGCAAGGAAAGAAGGTGTTTCGGAGCGCCTCGGGGTCGCGGTTCGCCTCAGTCTCACGCCCAGCAGCACTCATTCAGCCATACCCGTGTCGTTTGAGCTATAAAACCCGCTCCTGCCATCCCCATTCCATCATCACCCTCCTGCTCCGCCTTCTCTCCTCACCCGTCTCCTCCCACTTCTGAGTCGGAGTCAATTTCAACCATTCGCGCTCTTCTTTACCAGGCTCTCACCGCCTACAGCCTCTCTCCGGCTTGACTCGCCACCCGCCACCTCCGCCACGACCGCTGCTAGCATCATCATGGCAACCACCCGCGCCGCCCCGGCGCGCCGCGCGCTCCCGCTGCTCCCGCTCTTGGCGCTCTCCCTCACCGCGGCTCTCCTGCTCTCCTTCACCTCACCGTCCGACGCGCTCGGATGGTCGCAGATGACGACCAAGTACACGTGCAACCCGAGCTCCAACTACGGCATGTGGTTCAAGTATGGGTGCAACTGCCAGGCAATCAACACCACCGAGCTCGGCTACAAGAAGCTCTGGGCCACGTGCCCGGGCGTCAACCCCTCCGCGTACGGGCGGCGCGCGTTCGGCAACGTGTGGCTGGAGAGCGTGGGGTATGCGGACTGGGTGACGATTCTGATGCAGTGCGCGCGCAAGCCGTACCACATCAGCAACGGGTTTAATGGCAAGTGCGCCATCCCCAACATCTACAGCAAGCCGTACTATGTGGGCGGTGGGCCCACCCCTCCCCCCCGTGCCAACGGCATGCCCTGGAACTGGAACCCCGAGCCCCCCTACCTGTAAAGCGGTGCTGTGCGGTGGAGGGCGGTGCTGGGCGGTGGAGGGAGGATGTGCGGAGGGACTTATGGATTACAGGTAGCATGGTTGGAGCACTGGTGAAGATTAAGGGTGTGGTGATTGTCGGAACATGTGAGGCAGGGACCCACGGAGTATTGCTGGGATGGAGGTATGGGTGTGATGGGGACGTGGCAGGGGGGCGTGCAGGAGGGAGGGGAAGAGCAGAGGAGCAGCTGAGTGCTGTTGCCATGGCTTGTCTCTGCCTCTATGTGTTGCCTGCCCCTGGTCCCCGGGTGTCTGGTTGGTAATAAATTGTAAATCATTGTACCGTGATTATTCAATACTACCTCAGTTGTTTTACCTGTGTGCTGCTGTTCCAACGAATGCCTTGCATGCACAACACATCAGCACCAGAGAGGCATGCAACACATGATGCACACTGTGAGGCATGCAACACATGATGCACACTGTGAGGCATGCAACACATGATGCACACTGTGAGGCATGCAACACATGATGCACACTGTGAGGCATGCAACACATGATGCACACTGTGAGGCTCAGCAGTAGAATGACAGCTGCAGGCACTACATGGCCAGACATCCTCATTCCTTAAATACACTGACTCAGTCAGCCCTCTCCTTCAACCAGACCAGTCCAGAGCACAATCATGGTGCACCAGCAGCACGCTGCTACCGTATGTACAGTATGCATTATGCAGTGTGCAGAGGCCCATCTGTCCTCCCCTCCACTCGTCCCAAAACCCTTCACGTTGGACTTATAGATGATCGATCCTCTTGGGGGCCCGTCCAGGTAGGAAGAAGGTTCACTCGAAAAGCATCCCCTGGTTTGAAGCATGGGGACGGTGGTGGTACTGTACAAGGACATGTACCGTACCGTATGACAGCTGTACCGCATTGGGTCATACCCAAATGATGCTGCCATGGCTCTGTGTTGTAAACAGTGTCAAAACATTTTATATGTTTCTAGCTTTGTAGGCTGTGTAGGGGTTATCCCTTGAGGGTACCACCATTCTCTCGACACTCTTGTACCCCCCCCCCTTTCCTAATCGACCATCCTTCACAATAGGTTTCTAACATGGTTTCAGAGGCTAGGGTGTTTCTAGACCTTAGGAACTAAGTTCTTAAAGGGCCCACCGTTAAACTTTTCCCTGCCCGAAGCGCTACTGCGCTGCCCAGCCCGTTCTAAGAGCGTAGCGCTGCCCTGCTGCCCGTTTGCAGTCGCGCGCTCCTTGTGCTGCCCTGCGTGCTGCTCGCGCTGCTACCTGCGCCCCGCAGCTCGCGGCCTTCGCGCACCCCTCTCGCAGCCTTCGCGGCCTTCGCGCGCCCCGCCTGCAGTGCGCACTGCGTGCTGCCCGGCACGCCCCTACGCATTGCCCGCTGCTGCGCGCACTGCTGCTCTTACGCGAGTGCACACCCGGCCCTTGCGTGCTGCCGTTGCTGCCGCGCACTCCGCTATCAAAACTGTTATAGTGCTTACTTTGTGTAGGCTGTAGTGGGGTAGCCCATAAGGGGTACAACCCAATTAGGGTTAGCACTTGTACCCAACTTCTGTTCAATCCAATCATTCTCGTTCTATAGTTTGACATGGTTTCAGAGCAGGTCCTTCCCTAGGACCGACTTTTTTTTAGGGCCCACCACAGAGCTGCCCTGCCGCCCTGCCCTAACGGCGCGCCGCCCTTAGCAGCCCACGCGCCGCCCTTTGCAGCCCGTCGTGCCGCCCTTAGCAGCCCGCGAGCCGCCCCTGCAGCCAGCGCGCCGCCCCTGCAGCCCGCTCGCTGCCCCTGCAGCCCGCTCGCCCCCGCGTGCGGCCCGCTCGCCGCCCCTGCAGCCCGCTCGCCGCCAGCTTGCGGCCCGCTCAACGCCTGCTTGCGGCCCACTCGCCGCCCTTGCAGCCCGCTCGCCGCCCGCTTGCGGCCCGCTCGCCGCCCGCTTGCGGCCCGCTCGCCGCCCCTGCAGCCCGCTCGCAGCTCGCCTGCGGCCCGCTCGCCGCCCTTGCGGCCCGCTCGCCGCCCACTTGCGGCCCGCTCGCTGCCCCTTGCAGCCCGCGAGCCGCCCTCTGGCAGCCTGCTCGCCGCCCCTTGCAGCCTACACACCGCCCCTTTGCAGCCCGCTCGCCGCCCCTTGCGGCCCGCTCGCCGCCCCTTGCAATCCACGCGCCGCCCGCTGGCAGCACGCTTGCTGCCCCTTTGCAGCCCACTTGCCGCCCTCTGGCAGCCCACTCGCCGCCCCTTTGCAGCCCTCGCGCCGCCCCCTTGCAGCTGCTTGCGCCACCCGGCTACTGCCCGCCCTGCTGCTGCCCGCCCTGCTGTGCGCCGCCCTAGCCGTGTGCCGCCCTGCCCTGCCCTGCGCGCTTCCCTAGTGCTCGCGAGCCGCCCTGCCTGTGTGATGCTCTGCTGGTAGCGCGCCACCCTGCTCTGCCTGCTATGGCTTCTCTCAGTGTTCTCACCTTCGATCATGAGGGCCGTCCGATCCAGTTCGATACGTGGCTCGACGAATTAAAGCTGTACCTACTGAGCGATTCTAGAGACAGGGTTTCGTTGTTTGACAACACGCCTGGAGCATCTCTCGTCCCTCTCGCCACAGCTGATAGTGCGACTCGCTCACAGTGGCTTACGCGTGACGCAGTTGCTTGCTTAGCCATTCGCAACCACCTTCCGTTAGCCGAACGCGCTCACTTTGGCCAGCACAAGTCTGCAAAAGCACTGTACGACGCTGTAGTCGCTCGTTACTCCTCCCCTGCCACTGTTGCTCTAGGCTGCCTTATACTGCCCTACCTGTTTCCCGAGCTGTCCGCCATTGCAACAGTCGAGGACCTCGTTACCCACCTCCGCACTAGCGACTGTCAGAAAGAATGAACGAGGATGAATGAACTATGAAAGAGTTGGGTACAAGTACTAACCCTAATTGGGTTGTACCCCTTATGGGCTACCCCACTACAGCCTACACAATGTAAGCTATATATAAGTTTGACACACCCCCATAGGCAAAGTGGGGGAGAACAAGTGGTCACAAGATCAGTCAAGAAAAGCAAAGCAAGCTCAGGGTGGATCACAAAGTCACCACACAGTCCGAGCACAAGCAAAGGGCCACAAGGCCAATTCACATGCAGAGTTATATAAAAGACAAAAACAATACAGTGTTCATACCCTAGCAAGTGCAAGCATGCAGGTATATATATGGATCACAGTACAACCAAAGTCACGCAGTAAGCAAGTGAGGCAAAGTAGGCACAAGGCCTAACAAAGTAGAGAAGCGCTGATGATCACCAGGCGGAAGTGCCTTGGTGAATATATCAGCAGTGTTGGCCCTAGTGGCCACATACAAAAGACGAAGCTGGCTACGCTGCTGCAACTCTCGAGCAAGAAAGTATCGCAGAGCGATGTGCTTCGTTATGTGCTCCAGTCTGTGCTCCTGACACAAGGCAATCATGGCCTTGTTGTCTACGTACAGAACTGGAGGCGAACGAGGCTGCTCTCCCAGGTCAGTCAGCAGGTAGGTGAGTCAGCGTAGCTCCTGTGCAGCCATGGCCCCTGCGTAGATCTCAGCCTCACAACTGGAGCTGAGAACCGAAGACGAGCGGGTAGACCGCCAGGAAACAGAGCCGGAACCAAGGCTGAAGGTGTAACCCTATGACGACCGCTGCGTAGCTGAGTCATCAACCCAAGAAGCATCTGCGTGACCAGTGAGGACAACTGGACCCCGTCCTCCAAGCACGAGCCCCATGCCCGACGTACTACACAGGTAACGCAGTACCCTCTTCGCAGCATCCCAGTGCACCTTTCGGTGCCTACCAGGAGCCACGTAGCGAGCCAGAGGGCTGAGAGGGTACGCGAGGTCAGGTCGTGTGCACGTCATCAGGTACATGAGGCAACCCACAAGCTCTAGGTACGGACCACTCGGCTCTACGGACTCGTCCAAAGGTGGAGCTGAGAGCGAGTGGCCGGTAGACAGAGGAGTGGGCTGTGGCGAGGAGAAGTGGAAACCAAAGCGCTGAAGGACCTGGTGCACCATGTGTGACTGAGTCAGTGTGATGGTGTGCCGTGCTCTGTCCCGGGTGATCTGCAAGCCAAGATAGCTGCGCAATTCACCGAGGTCAGTGCAGGTGTGTCTTTTCTGCAGCTCCGACTTCACAAGGGTCAGTGCCTTAGTGTCACCAGTGGCAAAGACGAGGTCGTCTACGTACACGAGGACGTAGAATAGCGGCAGCGAGGTGTCGGTGCGGAGAAACAGCGATGGGTCAGCAGTAGAAGGAGCAAACCTAAGAGCCGCAAGTGTAGTCCTTAGCGTGTCGTGCCACTCGCGAGGCGCCTGGCAGAGACCGTAGACTGGCCGCCGAAGACTCCACTGGGTACCTGCAGGAAACGACCCAGTGAAGCCAGGTGGGCGGCGAAGCCAGATCTCCTCGTGCAGGCTGCCCTGCAAGAAAGCTCTGCTAAAGTCCAGAGAGTGCAACTCGTAGTCACGCTGAGCAGCGACGTGCAGCAACAACCAAAGAGTAGTCATCTTTGGGGTGGGGGAGAAGGTCTGGAAGTAGTCAACTCCCTATCGCTGAATGAAGCCTCGAGCAACGTAACGCGCCTTGAAGACAGGTGGAGAACCCGGCGGCCGCTTCACCCTGAAGATCCACATGCCATGGACTATGTTCGCCCCAGGTGGGGGAACCTCGTCGACGTAGGTGCCTTTGGACTTCCAGGATGCCATCTCGGCATCCATGGCTGCCTGCTACTGAGAGGAGTAAGGGCCCGTAATCGCCTCTGCGCAAGAGCGCGGGGTCGGGATGTCTAGTGCATCCGGGTCTCCCTGAGGGGCAAGCAGCATGGAAGCAAAACGAGGTACAGCAGCTGCAAGACACTCAAAGTCCTCTTGCCTGTCCTCAAGGACGTCCATGCCAAGAGCACACTCACCCCCGGCGGACGGAGGACTGGCAGACGCAGACTCAGCAACAAGAGCAGTGGAGTAGTCTAGACGATAGGCAGCAGAAAAGTCAAGCAGCTCAGCAACGAGAGCAGTCGTAGCAGCAGTCTCGAAAGAAGGGTCAGTGACAGCAGTGGCGAGGAGACGAGAGACAATGGGACTGGCAGCACGAGTGCGGTCAGACTCAGGGTCAGGGAGAGCAGGAAGAGAGGACTCAGGAGGAGCAGGCAGGGGAACACGCAGTGGAACAGAGGAAGGATGGAGCGCCATAGCGTGCGTGCCAGGGACAGGAGGAGGACGCGAACGAGGACTGGCAGACGCAGACTCAGCAACTAGAGGATTGGCGTAGTCTAGACGGCAGGTAGCAGCAA